AAAAAAAAAAGAAGACACAATTCGGATTTGAGCTTGAGCACGGTTTATCTCTGTTCGTGCGTCTTGTACCGCTCGTTCAACTTGTCCTGGAAAATAAATTTTCGTCATGAAGACGACAGGGTTACTTGATAAATGCTTACGTGGTTGTAAGTTTTTTCTCTCTCATATCAGCCTCAATATAGTTTTGTTTCGAAGATGCAAATTCTGCTATTTTTGTGTTGAGAAAAATCATCAAAACGGAAATAACACGCGAATATCACCGTTCTTCTGCTAAGCTTATATTTTGTGAGGTACAGTAAAAATTTCTGATGATAGTACTAAAACACTTTTTAAACACGAACTTTTTCATTTCCTACCAGTAATTTGTTAAGGATTTTCTGTAATGACGGTCGTTGCTGGTAGCAACTTGCTGCAGCCCATTTTTTTTTAAGAAAACGTACACTATGACTGATCATCTTGTGCTAAGGATTGATTCGGTTTGGACAAGTAATGATGTAGAAGTTGTATTCGAAGCTTACGATATTGATTGCGAGAAATTTGTTCCCTGAACACTTCGAATCAGCCCGTCCTGCTTCTTGGATAAAGGGCTTCTTTAGTTTCCATTGTGGTACAGGTACTTTCAAAACAGTTTGCGAAGAATGTCGTACTTGCTGGCCTGCACGTGCTTGGGGAGATTGTAAGTGTTGTAATCGGAATCCTTCCATTTCTTGAATCTCTTCATAACCTTTGTCCCATCCAACATCTCGTCAAGTTTCGTCGTGGAGAAGAAGTTGTTTCCTCTTCTTTTTTCTTCATCTGCAGTTTCCTCCCCGTTCTCAACTCGATCGTTGTTGCTGTCGTGGTAGCTAAAGAAGCGTTTTTCACCACAATGTTCTGGTTGCCAGCAACCAGGTCTTGTGCCTTGGAGATCGCTGTCGTGTGGTCGGACACCAAGGCTGCAGCGTTGCCGCTTGTGAGGAGAGCAGTCGCAACAGTAACAGCTAGCAGGACGGACAACGAGAGACGCATTAACCTTTGGATGTTTACTCGCGGTCTGATGGTGTGACGACTAGTGAAAGCGCTGAGGAAGAGCGACGAACGAAGGGTCGCGTGGCGAGGAACGAAGGCGAGAGAGGGTGGCGAAGGCGAGGCGCGAAGGCGAAGCTTGAGAGGAAGTTGTAGTGTGCCTTGACGTATGTAAATTGGAAAAAGAAATTGAAGTGGTTAGTTGTTTGTCGGCTACGATGTAGTGCTAGTTAGCGTTCCCTATGTACCTTATGAAAGTATATGTATATCACTATACTAGATTCTAAGTTGTCCTTGAATCGAATCTTGAAGTAGCGTAGCGTAGTAGAGAACCGCGGTTCATTTGAGCCGGGCTAGAATCTTCATAGTGGATTTAGAATGTATGTCCTTGAAGTCCCACATTTAGGAAGTGTTCATCCAAACATGGTGATTGCTTTCGGCTTGGCGCGTGGCGGCATGGCCGCTCATTGGCATTCAGATAGGACAGTAGGAGGAAGTCAATTAAGGAAAGTAGGACGCATTGGTACCAACTTCATGGCCAAAGCTGGCTGTGACGTTGGTGCGTCGTTACAGAAGGGAATAGTGTGTAGGGCTTGCCAAAATGCGGAATGAGGACGTGACTAGGTTGAATGAAGGTTTTTTTTTTTACTTTTGCGACAAAAGAAAAACTCGTCGTATGAAAGGAACCATCGTAGAGTCTACAGTAGACAGGCTCGCATCGTGCATGTACTGTACATACCGATAAGGATACTAGTCGAGTGGTGTTTTGTCAGGGGACGATCGAATTGGGTTTTTACTGAGTCCCAGTCGTAACTATTGAGGCTGGGACACCTGTTCATCAACGTGACTGATCCAGTGACGCTGTGGCCCACTTATCGAAGCAGTCAATGAAGTTTCAATCTATTGATCGACATCTGGATTCCGTATTTGTAATGTCCCAGCCACATGTACGGTTGTTTGGTCCCACAACACGTCCTCTCACCATCTGCTGTCGTAATCCAAACTAGTCAAACGGGCTACTTACATCTATCTTTAAGGATCTGTTGACATGGTTTTGTATCACTTAAGCCCAAGCTAGTGTTTTGAGGTAATTTTGTATTGGGCTTGTATACTGACAGACATCGAGAGGCCTCTCCATGCTTCTTAACTAGGGTATCACTATTTGAGACATCACTCCAAAGAGATTTCTGTATGTGGATTTACCGGAAATCGATCTGATTGCCGTGTCGTATGTTAGGTCGATTTATCCACCAACCAACAACAACTATTAATACATGTTACAAAACAATAATATTAATAGAACTTTTACATGCATCGAATTATATAATAATCTCCAAATTTTACGAGCTTTAACACTTCCTGGGAGTGATTGATAGTGTGTTGGTGCTTACGAAGGACAGAATATTGCTGGTATCCGGAGTCCGAAGGTGACCATAGTATGGTGTAGCTCTGGTCTACTCGTAGGAGCTCGACCGCATGCAACTTTTATCTTCATGAACCATGCGTTTGCATTTGAACCCTCGAGCGTGGCGTTGAATCAACGAAGTTTCTTGTTCTTCATCTGGTCCTTGACGCATATATTGATCGAGATCCACCACTGCTGTCGATAACAGCGTGGCGTGTCTATAATGAAGAGACGGTAGCAGAGCACCATAAAAATGCTGTGGAGCCAGCGTCCCACAAATTACATCGTCCTTTGATTCGGCGAACTAAGTAACTTTGTCACGTCAAGCAGCAACAGCCACAAGTGAATATGTCATACCTGAAAGGGAAGAAGTGTATTACCCCTTATAATGTCTTTAGTTGCTGCCTCGGAGTACCGCTGGCAAAACAAAAGCTTCTGCTCCTCCGAACCTTGGACTGGATTTACTCTTTTGATTCATCTTCCCTTCCTCTCGCTACGATAACTCCGATGGGCCCGTCAGAACATGCAAAACACATGCATTTACAGCGTCAGCATACAGCAAATCATTTGACTTGACTTAATTAAAGTTTTGACCTATTGAGTGACGTAATAAGGCATTGTAATAGGGTGATAGTCGCGTCACTTTGCCAGACGGCCGACGACAGATCAACGGACAGGAACGGCCGAGAAATGAAGAGCCGCAACGACTGGTGGCTCGACGGTGAAGAGTCGCACATGAAAGATCGCACGGAACGAGCGGTCGAGAGCGGCCGACAAAAGATTCTAGCGACTGGTGAGTGAGGCGGCGAGAGTGCCTAGATCACTTTGAAATCTGCTGGCGAAGCGACGGATGCCAAGACGACTTCAAAATCTGCTGGCGAGGCGACAGACGCCAAGATGACTCAGAAATCTGTTGGTGAGGCGACGGACGACAACTAACGTGAACTGGGCTTCAGAGGATAGAGCGGAGGTTGACGAACGATAGACGAACGAACTGGTCTCCGGTGGTGCGACGGTATTGCTGGACGACTACGAGGATCTGCGGATGGCGGTGACCAAAGTGTGCAGCGGCTGAGAACGGACGACGAGTGGATGGACAGGTGAGTTCCTCGAATTTGGGTGAGTGTGGGGCGCTGTCAACGGAAAGGCCGAGCACCTGCATTCAGGCGGGCGACGCCAAAAACTTGGACGGACGAAGGAGGCAAACGTACACGGAGCAAGCAGTGTTGTATTGCTTGTTAGTTTGAACGTAAATAAAATAGGTAGTACAGCCAGTCGGGCTCACACCGGCGCGGGAGACAGAGTTGTCGACCGACGGCCATCCGGATCTTGGACGTTTATCAGCACTGGACGAACCAAACTCTACGAGTGGAGTTAGCAAAATCCTTACATGGTACTCATACAGGGCCATTTGGGAAGATAGACAATAATACTGAACGACAATGGCTCGAACAAAAACTGTGCAGCGCTCGAGCTCGGTTACAAGAGCATTGAGTGACACACTATCACAGCAACCTAAAGAAACCGAGACGCAATTGGCTGAACAACCCGAGGCGAACGAGCCCGCGACAGCAACGACGAAAACACCCGTGACGAACTTGCCCGCGACGGAGAATGCATTCCTGGCGGAGACGATTAAGACACCGGCATCGGAGAGTCCGGTAGAACAAGAAACGAACGACGACGAACTGTCAGCGACGCGTGTGGAAACTACCACGGGAACGCAGACAACGTCGGCAGCAACGACGATAATTACTTCGGTGATGACTTCGACAGTTACCCAACCCACGCTTCTCACAGCGGCAGGATCGATGGCGTCGAGGGCTGGCGGCCAAGGCTCAGCTGGAACGTTGAACCGGCCGGCGGCACATGCATCGACGCAGCAAGATAAGTTGACAATGGGCACAACGGCGACGTTACTCAGTGCGCTACAGTGGATTATGACGATAGTGAATCGTCTAGAGACGAGAATAAACGACGTTGAAGCGGCTCAGGTTCCATCGCACGAACAGCAATCGACAACGCTACCCATATCGACTACGACGAGGAGCCCGGACACGGCTGAAGCTGCCGTTACGACCAGCGTTAAACGAATGACCGCGGCCGTAGAAGCGCAACTCCATATGATGACTTCGTCGGAAAGCCAGGCAACTGAGGCAGTGACGCCGACGGTAACCAATTTGGCAATGGACGCACCACCGCAGAACGTAGTTCCTGGCTTGGAACAACCGTTGGTTGCATTGCTGGAAACCATTAACGCGACGAATCCGACCGCAGCAACAGTGGCAAAATGGGGAACCGCAGCACGTGCTAGACCTGCAGTACCTCCGGGACCTGGTGATGGTGATGGCGGTGGTGGAGGTAGTAGTGATGATAGTGACTACAGCAGTCGCAGCGAAGACAATGACAACTCCAGTGCCGATGACCTCTGTGGACGACGACCAACAACGAAGACATGGACGAGGAGACGTGCGTGACCAGCGACGACACCGCCACAGGATGAAGAATAGCGTTAAAGAGCTAGATCTGCGGTCCTTCTAGCCTCAGGTGGGTGAAATACGGATTGAAACGTGGATAGCGAAGGTGGATTTAGCTGTCCAAGGTGCACGAATATCTGGCCGAGGTGATTGGAGTGAAAAGGAGCTTTAGTATGTGGTTGGAAATAAACTACGATACAACGCGGCTAAGGTGTGGGTTCAGTGCCATAAGGAACTCAGCGAAGACGACAGAACGTGGACGAAGTTGAAGGACGCTCTTCTTCGGTGGTATAGAGAACAACCAGATCTCGCTCAGGCGAAATGTAGAGTGATGCAGCGGACAATGATGCCTGGAGAAATGTTCGCTGACTTTGCAGCAGGACTCCGTGATGCAGCTGGCCAGAACCGAGTGAGAGAGGAAACCCTGCTGGGCCAGTTATATCGTGGACTAGACAAAACTACCCGGCAGCTGGTCAAATTGGAACCGGCGCCAACAACGCTGGGCGAAGCTATCGACAAGCCAATGACGATAGATGACTCGAGCTACAACGTAGCCCTCGGCATGATCAACAACGGCCAAGCGCGGGTCATGAATCTGTCGGTACAAATGGACGGTACGAAGGGCGCGATGCAAGCGATTCCTTGTATCGGCTGTATACCGGCTGACGCCGAGGACGATGAGGACATGGAAGACAAGAGCCGTGTGTTCTTTACGAACCCACAAGATAATGACGCCAACGTATGGGTGGCGCCAGGTGGGAGAACATGGAACGGAAGGTACTGGCGATTGAATAAGAAGAGTCGTGGCCGAGAGCGAAGGACGGCATCTCAAGCCCAGCGGGAATTGAATAAGCGGTACGTCAGACCGGACAAGAAGGTAAGAGTTCTGATGGTGATGGCAGACGAAGACGCGAGCAGCAACGAGGAATCAGAAGTTCCATCGTCGCCACCACGGAAGAAGAATCGAAACGCACGTGTACGACAGACGAAGGCGCCCGACAAGACACCGGGTTCACGCCACCCAACTCGGAACGGCCCGGCGGCAAGCGCCCAGGTGAGGAAAACAAGGGTTTTGCGTGTGGGCAATCTGGTCACTTTGCGAGGGACTACACCGACCCCACAGTGAAGTCCCGGAACGAGGCCTATTTCGCAGAACGCAAGGCTCGGCAAACGTCGGCGGAAAACGACAGTCGGGCGTAGTGGGGGAAATACTGCGTCCGGCACCGCCGCGAGATCTTCGACAGACTGCGACGAATGCCACCGACGCGATGGTGACAAACGACGGTGGCGACAGGTACCGTGCAACTCCGGCAGTGACGTTCCAAGAGCTGTTGGTGGTGGCGGTACGCGTGTGAAGACAACGACGGAGAGACCGATGGACGCTGCTGTCGCGAGAGAGTTGGCGGAGACAGGCACGGACAAACTACTGGATCAACGCAGCGGAGAGAACGGCGAGTGCTTGTGTCGCGGGGCAACCAGCAGTGGCGTGATGATGATGAAGGCTGCCATTGACGCGGAGGTAATAGCCCGTGATGATTGGAGGGCGAAGCGGTACGTGGAGACGGTGAGACTGGCGATGAAAGCGCTGCGTTATCCAGGTGCCGACGGCCGAGAGGGAGATCGACGAGAGCGACTACATGCAGCTGAGGAAGGCGGCGTGCTAACGTCTGAGGAAGGCGGCGCACTGACGTCTGAATATGGAGGCGGCGCACTGACGTCTGAATATGGAGGCGGCGCACTGACGTCTGAATATGAAGGCGTGTCAGTGGCTGAGGAAGGCGGCATTCCGACGATGGAGAAGGATAAGAAGGCACTAGAAACAGTAGCCAACACGATGTTGACAATAGCACCGGTTACGAAAACGGCAACGGAATTCATGCCACTGACCACGACGGTCCCAGTGATGGCCACGTCTTCTATAACTACGCGGGCGACGGTTTCGGCACCAAGTGAGGATGCAATGGAAACTACAATGACTACGGGTGCACCATGAAGCTGGTCAACCACCGAGTGCCAGATCATGCTCACGTGGCTGCAGTACGCCTAGCCAGGAAGCAGGCAAAACGTGACGCCAATCGGCAGCGCGTGGAATATGCAGTGAGACGTGCGACGGTCATGCCGGTGAACGACAATGAAGTGGTTCGTGCGGTGGTCGGGCTTGAAGACGAACAGTGAGTCTGACGACAACGACAAACTAATGAAGTGTTGATTGAACTGGAAGAACAAAGAAAACGATGGACGGAGACGCAAAATCAGGGCCAACGAAACTCGCAAAGTGCACGAATTAGTTTGGTACAACGACGTGGAATGGCCGCAGTGAACGTGGCCAGGGGCTGGTGTGGAGGCTGTCGACAGTTTACCGATGGCAGTCATGCAGTTGGACGGCGAGAAGTATGCTATCAAGTGGGATAGTTGTGCCAGGTATTCCGTATCGGGAACAGACTGGATGGAGCGTGGAGAGCGAGTGCGCGGGCCAGCCCCAGTGGACTACGTAGAAAGATTGGGGGGGGGCTTCCTTCTCGATGTAGTCGGAGTTTGGGCATTGGATATGCGCAACGTGTAGGGGCAGGTGGTGCGAATCACGGCATGCATTATCCAAGGCTGTGCAAGTGAGTTCTTAGCGTGTGTGTGTGTGGGGGGGGGGGTCGACTTCATGAGGTAACACAAAGCAAACATGGATTTTGACAAGAACGAAATTCACTATTATGAGGAGATTGTACAAATGTCAAAGTAAAGTGGCCCAGTGTAAGGACGGCGTATGGATCGCCATATGGTCGCCATATCGGGCGCCATATGATGATCAGTCTAAGAAGACAGGAGTTCCAGTATCAAAGCCGATGACATAGATGGAAGACGTTCGCCTTCATCGCAACGAACGCGTACATCAAGTCATATTATCGTGGACTGAAAAATATTCCTACTCAAAGGTCATTCTGGAACCTCTTCTTCACTTTTTGCCAAGCCTGTCAAGTGCTGAGTTCTATCAAAAACGTAGTGGGTAGAAAGAACCCTTAGAGATTAAAATGCAAGAAGGCTAGGACGGTCAATTCCGACGTATATATCACTGATGGCGAAAGTGAAAGCGATTATTTTCTCATAATTGATCCTAGATAGGAAAACTAAGAGTTTGAGAACGAATCCGAGAGCAATGGTGATCGCACCAGTGAAGATAGCGAGCTTGAGGGAGACGTACCGCCAACCCATACTATGGAGCCAATTCAACATGGACAAGAATATGGCATACCACCACCTAAATCAAAGGATTCAGCATAATAACCATCGGCGCCGTTTGAGATATCGATTAAGGAGGAATCCTGTACACGCGAGAAGTCAAAACTATTGAGGCCACGACAGAGACGGCTGTGCGGCAGGTAGATATAATTCATGTACCTAAACCAAACGAAAAAGAAAGCCAAGAACTCATATCAAGTAGTTAAAACTTTCACGAGGGGCGGACCGTCTAGCTGTTCATTTGTACCCCCATTCATTTTTAGTATGATTGAAGGAGCTATTAGCTTGGGCAAAGAACGCCTTTAAATCTGAAGGATGTTCTGGAGATGTTGGAGCAGTATCCTATCCAGCTGAAAGACCCTTACCCTCGAGATCGGTCGATGGAGTGCCACTGGGAAGTGGTGCGGCCCTCAAACTACATGCACACATTTGTCATTCCCGCTGATCTAGCTAGAACAATGCAGGCTATGGCTATAGCAACCAAGGTCGATCAGGTGTGCCCCGGCAACACAAAAGGAGCTAAACGCCCTGATTTGAGACAATGCGAACGCCTCAGAGCGTGAAAATGCGGTTTACGCCGGACCAAGAGGACGTCTACGACGACATTTGGCACAATACCCAACTGAAGCAGTTGGGTGCAAGGCACTTCATGACAAGAAGATGAAGAAGCAAGGTCTCAAGTACGACGTCGTCGTCATCACCATCGCCCCAAACTACGGAAATTCAGCGGGTAAGGTTGCTACAGTGTATAGTTCTTGCTGCTTTAAAAGGGTTGCTTTAGTAAGCTACTTTACCAAACCTTACGGATTCAACCGATTGTCTAACACAATGCTGTATCGTGTTTTTCCAGGGGTTACGTCAGTGCCTTCACTGTGTTCTACGATATGAAAGCTAAGTGTAGATTGTGGATTGAAGACAGGATGTAGTTCGAGCAGGACTGGAGAAAATTTGTAGATCTTTTTGATGTCGCAACGAACACTGCTCGACTGGCACCAGAAGCTCGTCGTATCCGGCAACAAGAGCTAGCCAAGAGGATATTTCGAAGTTTGCATCCAGCCCACTGTGTACTATATTTGTGACGAGTTCCGATGCGCTGTGGCTCGGATTTGACAACAGTATTGATGCTCTATGTCGAAGCGGGTTCAACGATAGTGCTGTGGATTTCTGTCTGGAAGCAATTGTGGGGTCAATCGGACAGTCGCTCATGTTTTCAACGTTGTTAGGAGTGGGGGGGGCAACAATAGTGAAGACAGAAATACTGGACACAAAGTTCATCGTTCACCCAGTGGGTTCGAGTGCAAATCGCTGGGGTATCGTGATGTTGCATCTGTATTGCGATGTCACGACTAAAACTCCACAGGTACACGTGTTCATGTACGAACAGCTCATCGATGCAGATTATCGAGAATTAATGATTGCTGTGTGGAAGGGTACTATGAAACACCAGAGTGAGGAAAGGAAGGTCGTATGAACTTTGTAGAACGCTGCCATTGTTTTTCTGCCGGCGGGTACCAGAGTAAAATAAACCTGGTGGAGTGGTTTGAGACGTCGGAATAGCCTGATGCCGCCAGCCGCGGCGTCCTTGTCCTGGTACAAACTACAGCTATCTTACAGAAAGTATGTGACTACAGAAACACAGATTCTTGGAGAGAGATGGCAGTGCTATACGCCTGAGAATGGAGTGGATGGTAGTATGGCATTCCCAAGAGCGCTCCATATCGGTGTATGATGCAGATAAGGCTAGTCAAATTCACGAACTACTACATAAACAACAAGGATAGATATAAGCTATGTGTGTTTCAATCTCAACCCAGTTTGCTACCTCAGTGATGTTATTTTTGCTTGCTAGCTTCTTTACCAATTTTCTAGTACCATTTCAAAAAAATAGTGTCTACTCGTCGGTTTTCGATGGTGCTGTCGCCTATAGTCTCTGGCAGCTCGTAAGTTTGCTCTCCGTGATCCTCAATCCAGCCTGAACCTCAAGTTGAACCTCCAAGATCAACTCCAGTCCAGTGCCGATCTGCCCCACCGTCTCTCTCACCGAAAAAAAGGTCGCCAAGCCAAACACGAATCAACTCGCGCACTATCGAAGCGTCGTTCATGATGTATCGTTGTTAATGTCCATGGTGAGCGTAAGCGCCCTTGTGCGAGTGCATTTGTGAGAGTGTTACCTAGAGCGAACTTAGCTGATTTCTCGAAATTTCGAAAACTCGTCGAAACTAGTCACGAGGTGGTTCACAGGCCGACATTTACTTTTTATAGATTGCACATTTTTAGGGTTGCTAAAAGTGTCGCTTTAGTGATAAGGTTACCATAATTTTCGTCGTCAGTTCGTACATCATGAAAGTTTGGGCTGGTAGCTGTACTGGTCAACTGTCAGCCTCACCATCATGTGAGTTCCAGCGTGTCCACGTCGATGGGGGTAGTCTGTTCCTATATCGTCGTGGACGTAAAGGACGACCGAAGAGTGATGACCTCTCGGGTCGCCTGAAACGAAGATCCTTGAGGAATACTCGATCGTGTCACCAGCGCACAGGCTGGCAGGATGTAAATCCGAGGCACTGAGACCCGGCATGGTCGATGCCGAGGTGAGAGGCGCAGCGCCGTGCTGGTGGGGCTTCAAGCGTCCGATGGAGTGATTTCTGTCTGGGACGGATGGTCTTTACTGCTCCGACCTTCGGAGTACATTCAAAACTCACTGCTTCAACCTTCAGAGCACACATCTACTTCGCTAACACAACCTTCGGTAAACATTATTGTGACGGCGGCGCGGCATCGATAAGGATAGGGCATATTGATGGGGAACAGAGTGTCGCCAACAGCCTGCTGATAATGGGCGCTTCCAGAAAAACAAAAAAACTGTGTCCCAGTAAAATGTTACGTTTATGATCAATCTTACTTATTTTGTAAAGAATATTAACCATCGGCGTTCTGCCAACAGAGACTTTCGGAAATAATTGGAAGTCGCCGATCAGCTCTAGCTCAGTCGTTCTCTGGATATTTATATCCAGAGTTTTAGGGGCGATCGGAAAGCGTCGACGATCCTGTCAAATAACATTTTTATGGATATATCTGTAATTATTTGAAACCTAGGAGGGAATATTTATATACTAAAATGACGCAGAAACTAATAAACTGTTTTCTTGTATGCCCAAAAGGGTGAATGTTGACCCAGTCGGCCTAGAACAACATTCAAGCAACCTTGTACGAATGTAATCCAGTCACATTCAAGCTACCTTATGGCTTGAACTTAGGGATCGAAGTTACTAGAACTACGGAGCAGTTAGTAAATACAATCACACAAATGTCATGCGTCCAGCATCAGATATACATGCATCTCAATGCAGCACATGTACTCAATACGAAATTAACACTGGGATACGTTTGAATTTGATTTAGAGACGGCAACCATCAAATTCTCAACTAAGAAAAGTAAAAAAAAAAAGTCCCATCGTCGCTGGCGAAGTGGGGGGCCATCCTTATTCGCGCTTCAGTTTCTTCCTATTGTCAAATATTATATAATTAAATATTGAGTATCCAAATATCCAGAGCTTCCCGGGCGCAGCACGGCATTAGTTGAGAGAGGAGGGATGACCTCTCCAGTCGCCTAATTTGCTACGAGGAAAGATTTTGCTCGTCGGTGAGTCATCTACGAGCAAATCGTCGATTTTGCTACATGTTCAGTCTCGTTTATGACAATCGTGCTGTATTAAATTTACGAGTTTGTGTTTCCAGGAAGCGCCGAATGTGATTGCAAATCGGGTATACGTGTGTGTGCTATTCAGTTCCGTAAGTGTGTTTCTACCTTTCCTCACTTCAAATTTATAATATAATGTAATAATAATAAAAGCCACAGTAAAAAAAAAGTGAAAACATCATGATAACTGAAACAAGATATCTATCTGCCTTTGAGGGCCCACCCCGCAAAATACGGCTCTACCATCCCAATTGACTAAGTAAAAGGTCCGAACTTTACCGAAGCAGGATTCCTTCCTTTGAGGGTTATCAACCCCAAAAATATTGACCCCGCAAAATATGACAGTACTAGTCCAATTCCTCTAGTTACAAATACGCAGTATGACATTATTGGCTTGGCCGTGAAGACTAGTAAAGGTTTATAGGCTTCATTTAATTAAAGCTCTGCAATAGCCATGAAATCTGTTTTCCTTCTGCATTGACAAGGCTAGCACAATGAGATCATCAAACTTCGCGAATGTCAAGACTCTTGTGCCAAATTCATGACTGCATCGATTAATGGCACTCGAAACACTTCCTTTTGCATACTGCCAGTGTGATAGTTTCTGCGACGAAGAGAAAAACTTTAGTGCTTGTCTGTGGTATTTTGCAAGTGATCCTGATCAGGTTGCGAATGGTTTTCGAGTGAAAAAAAGCTGAATATCCAGTGCACCCGATAACTTCAAATAGCACTCCATTCATGCAACTGCTTTTTTAAATGCTGTAGTTGTCTGTCTCTGGTACTAAATAAGCTCAAGCCTCGCCACGCCGCGAAGTCTGCCTCTGCCGCTCCAGTATCTCCTTCTGTACTCTAGCCACCTCGCAAATACGGTCTTCATTGATCGAGATCCGTTTCTCTAGCACTGATAGTGTTCGTGTGATGATCTCCAGCTGACCTACAATGTGCTGCAACGTGTTGTCCATCGAATACCGTCGATTCGAAGGCGTTCCATTCTGACTCGTAGGAGATCTCGTCTCCCTTCCAGGTGACTTTGGCGTCTCAAGAGGTGGAGGCGGAGGCACGGAAGTCGCATCACGAGATACGGGAGATCTCACCTGTGGACTCATCGGTCGTACTTCATACTTAGACGCCGCGTATGGATGTTGCGGCTTCTGCTGTGGTGTCGGCACTGTAGACGTAGGCGTCGGAGGGGGCGAACTGGCTGGTACATTCGCTGATCTCGCTTCATCGTCACCATTTTTGGTCTTCATGGTCGCATTTTTGCGTCGTTCCTCCACTACCGAAGTGGCCTCAACCTTCAGATTTGGTCGTTCTATTTGCAAACATTTGTCTAGATCTGCTTCCCACACCAAAACACACGAGTCCACTGCTCCTGACGCCAATAATTTGCAATCTTGCGAGAACTCAGCGCAATTCACAGCTCCATCATGTCCCTGTAGCGTATACAGCACTTGTCCCTCTCTCACATCCCACAATTTAACTGAATTATCGTGTGAAGTTGACAACAAATAGTTCCCTGTCGGATGGAACGCCACACACGTCGCACTGGCCTCGTGTGCCTTGTAATGGTGCACTAGACGTCCCGCTCTCGTGTCCCACAGGTTGACACTCTTATCATAGCTACACGAAGCTAAAGTGTTGCCGTTATCACTAGGATGGAAAGTTACACTGTTGACGATGCCAGAGTGCTCAAAGAACGTATGAACACATCGCTTGGTCTCTGTGTCCCAAAGTTTGACAGTCTTGTCGTCACTTCCAGACGCAATACGTCGCGCATCTGGACTAAATTGGGTACTGCGTACCCAATTGCTGTGACCGGTGAGGCTACACTTGAAGCGGCGTGTCGGTAGCGCCCACACCTTGAGCGACATATCGTCGGATGCCGTCAATAGCTCGCGCCCGGAGGCCGAGAAGCTCACACTGCGCACAGCTCCCGCGTGGGCCTTGATAGTGACCGAGTCACCACGTACGGTGGGCGTCCAGAGCCGCACGGTGCGATCTTGAGAGGCCGAAGCCAGCACGTCTCCGGTAGGCGAGAAGCAGACGGCGTGTACAGGCCCCGCGTGGCCTTTGAAGCGGAAAGCGCGCAGCTGCGGCTTGAAGTTCCACACCATCACCAGACCGTCTAGTGAGGACGAAGCCACCTGCTGTACACTCGGGTGGAAGCTCACACCCGTGACCGCCGACTTGTGGCCGCGGAACGTGCGCTCTAGCGAAGGGTTCTGCATGACGTTTTGGATACTGACACAAATGCTTAAAAATGGTCAAAATGCGCACTTTTTCTGAAAAAGTGCAAGATTTAACTTAAGTTTTTTTTAGTCCTTAAAGATTTTAGAAATATGTTACTCGGTAGCACATTATTTGAAATGGACTAAAATGTGTACAAACCTCCTCATTTCGCTTTTTTGGGGGAACATTTTCTAGACGTTTGTAAACAACCAGAGGTTTCAATTGGGAAAAGTGCCAGGTTTCAATAAAACTGTTTTGTTCTCTTTATCGCTGTCGTTGCTCACTAACCATCCGACGTTCTCCATGGCTGAATTCAATCGAATACCAGTACTAACACCCCAGGCTGGTGTTCTGTACACTTCAAACGACTGCATGAGCAAGTGTGAGCGTCAAACCTACTGTGTACGCTGAATACGGGTCCACACGGCTGCCACCGAGTCAACCTCATTGCCGCTGTAGCCAACAAAGCCACCCAACTGGTAACCCTCGGGGGCGCCGTCCTTGCCAATTTGGTCTGTTTGGGTTCCGCCGGAAATGGTATTTCCCGCGTCTGTCGTAAACTTGATGTACAGGATTCGTGTGTGGCGGTAGTACTTACCCCAGTGTGCCTCAATGCCGGTAATGTGCTCGTCTTCACCTAGCGTGAGTGTGTTCTTGTCACCGCCGTCGCCTCCGTGAACCATGGTGGTCTCCAGTCCTGTCGGATCCCGCACGTCGAGGCTGATTTGGTCCACGCGATCAGAGGAGCGAATCGTGATGGACGTCACAGTTTGACCGGGAGTAGCCAAGTCAGAATACTGTGGTCCGCCGAAGGTCTCGCCCAGTTAGACTCCGTTTTGCAACTTAGCAGCAGCCACCACCGCTGTCAGAAATTGGCAGATAAACTTCATTGTTGACTTGCGTTGTTTGGAAGAAGGAAAAAAAATGAACTCATCGGCACTCGCACTAAAACACCTTCGTGGTCGTCCTTGTTGATGTTGTGTCGTTGTCTTGTTTACTGTACGCTGCATCCCCGCTCGGGTTTGATTCGAATACGCTATTAACCAACTTCTCACTACATCCACCACTCCGTTTTACTGTTATTTCGGTTGCATATTTTACGTTTAAGTATGCATGTAGGGATTGTCAGAAACAGGAATAGTGCAATACTTACTCACATCGCGTAATCCTGTTTTGATACGCAATTTAACTCCGTGTACCTCCTAAACAAGTGCAAAATATTCACCGTAAGTAATGAAACCCAGGGCTCACTTACATATCATATATGGGACCCCGGGGTCCCGCCATTCGTTTCATATGTGCTCAAATATTTTCATAATCCAAAGGCTCCAACTGCACAAATCTCTCCATGTCACTTTCAACGCGAACACTTAATTTTACTGGCTGGATAATGTCGAGGCAACGCTTTCGTAAATGCGGCACCTCGAGGTCACTGGGTTTCGGTCAAAAATGCTTGATGATACTCTGGTTATTTCTCGTAACACGCTTTGTGAGAGCTACTCTCTTTGACCATTAAGCAATTCTAGAGAATATTGTTGGCCTCCTGCGCCCCAACGAAGTTATCGTCGTGGAATAAGGATCAAGACGTTCGTGTCTGCTGTGCAGGGACGAAGTGAACAAAACAAAGCCCCCTGCAGTGTTAAATGAACAGTTTGAGCTTGCGCTAGGAAGTAAGTTATTTGGTGTTACTTAGTAACACCAAGGGTTTCTTGCACGAAACTATGAACGACCAGATTTTCAGCAAAACCAACTCTTGCACCGCACCATCATGTTGGTGATGCCCTGGAGGCGACTCGTCTAATCTGACAATTTCATATTTCTATCATTAGAAATATGCAAAATGTAAGCTGTAAGTTAAATTTGCTTCAGCTTAACAGAAAATTTACCGAAATACTTAAGTACAATTTTGAGTCACAAATGTAAAAATGCCCTCGATCTCCAAGCGCCAGCATGGGGGCGACGACCAGGACCCCGACGCCGCTAAGCGCTCCCGGACAGAGTCAACTGTTGAAGAAGCAGCACAGCAAAGAGAGGGTAACCAAATTCAAGCTGTCGTCATAAAGCAAACCGAAAGCGCGTCCTCGCACCAATTTGATCGGCTGAAGGACGTTTCTTTTCCCTGTGCCATATTGGCGCTACGACACGTTCTGAGCCACATCGACACTCTGCTCATGTCTCCTGACGAAGCTGCGATCGAAGCCGCACGAACTGGCCAGCTGAAATGGCTCAATGAAATCATACACAGATTCGACGAGTGTGACATGAGAGACGCCTTCGTAGAAGCTGCTGGCAGTGGGCACGCGGATATTGTGGCCAGGCTGTACGTGTACATCGAGCCCACCCTTGAAGACGAGGTCCAGGAGGCGGTCGCAAGAGTATGTAAAGCGATTACGAGAGCTGCAACAAGCGGACATTTGAACGTGATGCAGTTTTTACTATCCGAGAAGGTCGATTTGTTCGAGACCACCGGTGTGACCACATACAAAGGCATCATTCCAGCGTTTGATAGTGCAGCTGAAAATGGGCACTTGGACATTGTGAAATTTATGGTGAACCATGCGAAATTGAAAAAATACAAATGGATACTCGCCGAATGGAGGCTAGTGGACGCACTTTCGTGCGCGATCTTTCTCAAGCACACTGAAATTGTGGAATTCCTCTTCAGTGTGTTCGAAGATTTTCACTGGAATGTAAAATCTGCCTTAATAGCTGCAGTTCATGCGGAAGACAAGGACCTCATTAAAAGGATTTACGAGCTATACCCGACCACTTCGTATAGGGAAAGCAATTTATTCGTTGGTTTGGCGCGGGATGACCTCTACATACGGGGTGTCAAGTATTTATACGAACACGGATGGGACGATATTACTCTACTTAGCGACGCTTTTGTTGCTGCAGCTAGTAGAGGATCTGTTGAAACGCTGGAGTTCTTCCTCGACACGGGACGGATATCACAAGAACTCTTCGATAAAGCTTTTGAAAAGGCGGTCGAGTCGGAAGGAGCTGTAGAATTCCTGTATGGGAAGAAGCGTGCTTCTTCTCTGGCGATCAACCAAGCCTTCGTAAGTACGAACAGCCCCACTCTTATCAAGCTTTTGTACGAGAACGAGCAGATTCCCAATGACTCAATCAGTACAGCTTTCACTAAAGCGTGTAAGGCTAAACGCACCTACATCAACCAGCCAAGCAAGGACAATAACCGCATGGACATCGTCAAGTATTTGATGAAGCTGGACTGCATTCCCGCCGAGGTCATTGGCGAGGCTTTTGCCTACGCTGCAAAGCATTTTGACTCTGAGATCATGAAGTTTCTGGCTGAAGACAAACGCCTGTCGCCAGACGATGCTTTTCTGGGTGCAGTAGTGTATGGCGATCGGAAGCTAATGGAATCCACGTACGACGTCGAGAGGATATCTCCTGAGACCATCCTGACAGCTTTCACGAAAGTTTCAGTCTCCGATTCTCCTGACATACTACAGCGTCTTGTGCAGTATTTGTGTATTAAACCCCACGTGCCACAAGCAATGCGACACACTGCGTTTGTTTATGCGGCAAAACGGCGTTTGGTATGGGCCCTGAAAGTGCTGAATGAGAGTGAAGACGGAAAGTTGCCTCTCGCTCTATTGAAGGAGGCACTGGCCTCAGCAACTGATGACGAAGCTGGGCACTATATTCGCAAAATTATCTGTGAACAGCTCTTCGATGGAAAAGTGGAGTGTGGATGCGGCTGCGGTAACGTAATTCATAAAGTCTAGACGAGTGAACGAAGACTTCCGTGGGAACCCATTCTAAAGCGAAAGATTTCACGTTCTAGTGCCATCACAAATGTTCTTGTGAGACGAAGATCACACTGTAGATACATGGCAAATACAAGCAAGTCCCACGGTGTGTACCATTGCCACATTCATCTCAACGTGCTCATTAGAGGTGGAATTGGTCATCACATTGCTGATATAGTTTTTATGCAAGTGCACGGTGATCTATTTTTTTTTTTTTTGGTTAGTTTCACCTTTTACCAATAACGTCACGTTGAATTGTTTTGTCCTTAATTACATACCCATCACAAAACTAGCCAACTATACGACTAACTGTAAGCGATCCCAGAGCTCTGAGTGGAGGCAGCAAAAGCTGGTCAGGTGGAACCAGTGTCTGAGCTTATAAGCCAGCATAACTGCGACGTATCAGATGCTCTTGTGGCTGCTGTGAAAGTACTGCCGTATGAAGCTCCATATTTTGAAACTCGTGGTCAGGATGAAGACAATTGGGACCTCGCGACCGATTTGGTCTGCTCTGCTGCTGAAAACGGTCATCTTGACGTGCTCCCTGACGCCGCGTACTATGACCCGGACATAATATCCTACGCACCTGTGGATGACGACGAATACGTGTCCGACCTGTACAATTTGGCTCAAGAAGCTCTACGAAAAGCTGCTGTTAAGGGAAATTTAAGCGTGGTAAAGTTTCTGGCTGGGCAAGCTTTTATTGTAGGTTTTCTCCATGGTCTGAACAAGGCTTGTGGTTTAAACGATGCCTTTTCCTACGCTATTCGAGAGGGTCACGGCGATGTAATCGACTATCTGTTGCGGCTACATCCGCACTGTTTAATCTGGAACATGAAAGAGGCATGCGAGGCAGCTGTGGAACAGGATAAACAGGAGTTGGTGGAGAAAATCTACGAATTGTATTCTCTGGACAACAGTGGATGTTCGTGAAGCTGGTACAATCAAAAAGTACGAATGCTGTTGAGTTTCTCTATCGCAATGGTTCATGATGATACTGAGTTCATCAACAGAACATTCACAGACGCTGCTTGTTTCGGAAACACTGGGACTGTAGAATTTTTACTTAATAATGGGCGTATTACATCGGACAGTTTTGACAAAGCGTTGGAATATGCCTCCTCTTCAGGGTATGGAAACCCAGACACTGCTTTTTTCCTGTATAACAAGAAGCTCGCATCTGGAAAAGCTGTCCTAAAAGCATTTGAACAAGCGGCCGACGTATCTGTCGCTGAATTTCTGTTTGAGAACGAAGTAATCGCTGAAAACTCAATCAATGTCACGTTTGACCGTGCCACATGCTGTTATTCCACAGGCCAGGCGGCTATTATGAAATTTCTACTGAAAAACGAGTGTATTTCTGCCGAGTCGATTGGAAAAGCTTTTATCAGTGCTGCTATCAGCAGCGAAACGGACGCTCTGGAGTTTTTTGTGTCGTGATTCTCGTCTATTGACAAAGCTTACAACAAATCTGTAGCCAGATCCAAGGGTGACATCATAAGATGGCTGTATGACACCAAGCGCGTTTCCCCCGAGGCGATCTTGAATTCTTTCATGAAATCTGCTGCTACCTACGACTCTATCGAGGTGGTACCAGACGCAATAAACTATCTGTTCGCTGGCGAGAGGGTGTCAGAAGAGATGAGGCATAAAGCGTTATTGACTGCTGCTCGCCGTGGTGGTTTTTTAGCATGCTCATGATGAGTGAAGAAATTGAGTTGTCGGTTGAGACGTTGAAGGAGGCTCTTGGTGTTGCATTTTATATTTACACTGAAGCTGATATTTACACTGAAGCTGATACAAGATCGTGTTTGAATCAAAATGAGTTTAATCTGGATTCTCAATTTCATGCACTGCAAGTAATAAATTAAAAAATTAAACGCTAGTTTTTTTTTTTTTGGTTCCATTTTCGACATACTACTTGATCCAGTATAAGTACATTTGTTTGGTGGTCTCTTAGATATTTTGCGTAAGGAGGACGCGCTCATACGATGCGAACTGCTGGTCTGCCTCAGAGATTGATACCTCCAGCTTCCGCACACCGCGCTCCTGTAAGCGTAAACAAAACAAAAAACAGTCCCGCGATGTTAGTCCTAAAGCATTTGTTCAAGTATAATTCACTGGATATTTCGCTTACTAGGAGAGCATCCAGCGTGAACGCGGCCACAAGTTCGTTACTCTGGTTAAAGCAAACAACAACAAAAATAAAAAAAAATAAAATAAAACGAGAATGCGTTAGCTAACTTGATCCCATCCAAATCAAGCACTAGAGAACCTACGATGTGAATGGCGAGCTCCTCTGCTGACGAGTGTACAATAGGTAGCAGTGAGCAGTCAGCCTTCGGGAAACTGGAAGAGAATGATAGGATAACGACGTTAGATAAGCCATGCAATCAAAAACACATTCATACCTGAACGCCGCCATGTCTTCCGTAATAATCTGTATATTCTTGCCGTCACACGAAATCTGAAGCAACTCAACAGTTAATTTCGTCAAATCAAACCTGACATTTTTTTCCCCAACGTTGTTATATGTTCGCTTACCTTCAGTGCATCGCTCTTCATGGGCACGATAAAAGATTCGTTCAAGTCCTTGCAGATCACCCGAGAGATCCTCTTGATTTCTCCAAAGTCCACTACGTATCCATCCGAGCCAACCTGGCCTGTAATTGTGACGGCCAGGCGATAATTGTGTCCATGCAGCTTCTCACGGAATCCCTGCCACATGCAGCCAAAACTGTCAAATTCTGGCGGTTTTATCATAAATATGGTACCCAAATAAATAAATAAAAGCTTACCTTGAACGCGATGAAGTGAGCGGCATTGAACTTCATGTAATCCTTTGACACATGCACCTTAACCAATTGATTGAAGCCCACAGCCACGGGGTGTGGCGGTACGGTAACAATCATCGGTACGTCGGTCACTTTCTGCTTCGTGTAGTCGATCGCAGGGCCCCCAGCTCCATTGCATTGCTGAATCGGTGGCTTAACACGCTCAGATGGCTTGGTACGGTAGTTCTCCGTGTTCTCCTTGTCAAGGTAGCAGCATTTGACGATTCCGTCGGCCTCCCCGCGCGTTTTCATGGCGGGCGCTCGGTCAACTGCCAGTTCCTTGCCCATGTCGGTCAAGCGGAGTGGCGCTACTCTGGTTATTGTGGTGTGGTCATCGCTCGGAAGCTTCTTCTTGCTGTCAAGACGAGGCGTCTAATCTCCCATGTCGGTCAAGTTGAACTGGGGATGACTGCGTCTAATCTGAAATTCATAATAATGTTTCCAGTAAATATCTGTCAAAAATTATAACAGAACAGAAATGTGCCGAAAAGATTTATTTTTATAGAAATTACAAAAAAAAATTGTCGGCATGAGGGCGGCGACGCCCAGTTCTTCCCCGAACACGACCAGTTACTGAGGCTGCGTCCATGCAAAAGATAAGATCTAACCAAGCGCAAGATGGCGCCACGAGGCAAAACAAGAGCGAGTCCTCGTCCAAATACGAACGACTAAAGGACGCCACTTTTCCACGCGCAATTATGGTCTTACCACACGTTTTGAGCCTCATCAACACTATGCTCATGTCTCCTGAAGAAGCTGCAATCGAAGCCGCACGAACTGGTCAATCGAGATGGCTGCGTGACATCATACACAGATTCGAGGGATGCGGCATAAAAGAAGCCTTCCTAATTGCTGCTGGTAGTGGACAAGTGGTTGTTGTGGCAGATTTGTACACGTATATTGATCCCATTTGTGAAGATGAGGTCCCGGATACAATTGAATTAGTGTTCAAAGCCGTCAGAAGAGCTGCAAGAGGTGGCCATTCGAAAGTGATAGAGTTTTTACTGTCGGACGAGGACGATTTATTGTTCAAGCCTAACCGGGGAGCATTGCTGAGAAAACTCACCCCAGCTCTCGAGAACGCGGCGGCAGAGGGATACTTGGACATTGTGAAATTTATGATAACTCATGGGAGCCTCAAAAACTACAAATGGGCCTGCATGAGGTGGGGGAGGGGCGACGCACTTGCACTTGCCATTTATCACAAACATGACGACGTTGTGGAGTTCCTCTTCAGTGTATTCGAAGATTTTCACTGGAATTTAAAATCTGCCTTAATAGCTGCAGTTCATGCGGAAGGCAAGGACATCATTAAAAGGATTTACGAGCTATACCCGACCACTTCGTATTGGGAAAGCAATTTATTCGTTGAGTTGGCGTGGGATGACCTCTACATACGGGGGGTCAAGTATTTATACGAACACGGATGGGACGATGTGACTCTACTTAGCGACGCTTTTGTTGCTGCAGCTAGTAGAGGATCTGTTGAAACGCTGGCGTTCTTCCTCGACACGGGACGGATATCACAACAACTCTTCGATAAAGCTTTTGAAAAGGCGGTCGAGTCGGAAGGAGCTGTAGAATTCCTGTATGAGAAGAAGCGTGCTTCTTCTCTGGCGATCAACCAAGCCTTCGTAAGTACGAACAGCCCCGCTCTTATCAAGCTTTTGTACGAGAACGAGCAGATTTCCAATGACTCAATCAGTACAGCTTTCACTAAAGCGTGTAAGGCTAAACGCACCTACATCAACCAGTCAAGCAAGGACAATAACCGCATGGACATCGTCAAGTATTTGATGAAGCTGGACTGCATTCCCGCCGAGGTCATTGGCGAGGCTTTTGCCTACGCTGCAAAGCATTCTGACTCCGAGATCATGACGTTTCTGGCTGAAGACAAACGCCTGTCGCCAGACGATGCTTTTCTGGGTGCAGTAGTGTATGGCGATCGGAAGCTAATGGAATCCACGTACGACGTCGAGAGGATATCTCCTGAGACCATCCTGACAGCTTTCACGAAAGTTTCAGTCTCCGATTCTCCTGACATACTGAAAGAGAAATTTGGCCTTCTATTTGTGATTTTATTTACCCTATAGAAGCCTGTTTTGACATGCATTTAGACGGTCCATTATGGACTTCGTCTTTCGTTTTGAGTTGTCACTTGCAGGGAGGTTGGTGCCTGTTGTATTGAGAAGCTCGGCTGTCCGTTCCAAATAACTCCGCATTGGGCTAGTTAATGAAGCGGGGTCAGAGCTGAAATTGTACTGGATCGCCGTCTGCGACTTTGCTAAGTGCTTGAGTGGGTCTAGTGCCGCCAGCTTGGGTTTTCCCCATTGGATCGCGAAGAAGTTTTCAAGAGCTTGAGTGTAGTGAGTTTCGTACGTTGTCGACTTGTTTTCGATTTGATGTTGTTGTCTTGATTTTGGCTTCATCGCTTCTGTGCTCTCTAGTCGTAGCAAGACTTTAGCAGGTTCAGCGTTTGCAGAGATAGCAGTCCGATTCTCCTGACATACTACAGCGTCTTGTGCAGTATTTGTGTATTAAACCCCACGTGCCACAAGCAATGCGACACACTGCGTTTGTTTATGCGGCAAAACGGCGTTTGGTATGGGCCCTGAAAGTGCTGAATGAGAGTGAAGACGGAAAGTTGCCTTTCGCTCTATTGAAGGAGGCACTGGCCTCAGCAACTGATGACGAAGCTGGGCACTATATTCGCAAAATTATCTGTGAACAACTCTTCGATGGAAAAGTGGAGTGTGGATGCGGCTGCGGTGGCGTGATTCACAGAGCCTAGTGGAATGAATTACAGAAAGTTTAGTGTCCCATGAGATGGGTTTTTGTGTTGTCCAAGACAGTGTTGTTACGTATTACCCACTGTCAAACTGATACTCAATTCAGAATCTGGCTGATCTAAGTCTTTACTGAAGCTATTACTACACGAATGTCGAACAATACCCCGACAACAGTGTCACAATATCTCGGCTTTATCCCTTACTCTGAATCAAAGTACGATAAATTGTGTTTGAGAAGATCTTGATTGAAGCGGTAACAACGAAACAGGTTAACGGATCGACATCATTGATCATTGCACCTACGTATCATGTGAATTAAACAGTTGATATAGTCAGCGAAAGACGCTTACTCGAAGCTGCCGGGATATGATAAATGGTCTACTCTATTGAACTTCTTTGAAACTAAACATGCGCATTCCATCATAGAACAATTATACGCTTCCCACATCTTAAGCTGCAGCTTTATCCGCGCAGCCTACGAGTAAAGCTCACGTTTGTGTTGATGGATGTGTTCGTGGCAACTTCCACCGTAGCATTAGCCGTAGCGATGGTATCGTTGACCAGTGTGGCGTTCAGCATATTGGCGCAGTAGTTCTCGGCGTACGTGTTGATGGGGTTTTCGCACAGGGCCTCGAGGTCTCCTTGGGTCTGGATGCTGGCAGCGGCAGTTGTGAGTGATGAAATAGCGCTGTCCAGCTTGGCAGCGACCGTGGTATTTGCCTCGACAAGGCGACGCGAGGAGCTTGAACCCATTGGTAGACTATAGAGCAGCTCAGCATGAGCCTCATAGATGTCAAAGATCTGGTAGAGCAGCGTGATACCGGTCACAGCCAAGTGGTCTAAGCCCGTGAGCTGCGTCATCTGGTTCCACTTTCCGATCACCGACGAGCCGTCGAACTCAACCAGGTCACCGACATAGTCCTGATTCATGGAAATGGTGTTGACAGCGCCATCGTTAGGCTGCCAGTCAGTAGTCAAACTGAGAATATCGGGTGCATAGCGACTTCCAAGGAAGATAGAGAGAACGTCTAGTGGCAGTAGCATAGTCAAGATGTTCGGGTACGAGATCTTCTGCAGCTTCCAGTTGTACGTCGAGAAGGTGTCCTTGGTAGCGTAACTGTAGTAGTAGACATCGTCCAGAGTCTCAACCCACGTGCTCTCCTCCTTAGCTCCTGCTACCGACAAACTCCAGATGGAAACATCCTTGAAACTTGGGTCGAAGATACTACTAGAGAATACCCGGTCGAAGTATTCTTGTAGCGTTTCATCGTTCTGCTTAGCTGTGATGCCCCACTGGTCTAACTGGGCGTCATAGAGGAGATCCACTGAGTCACCAAAGATACCGAGTACGTTGATGATCGACACTAGCAGATCTTTGATGGTATCACCGATTTCCGAGAAACCATCAGCCAGCGTCGTGCCCTGGTTTGGTGTTGAAATAGTCGTGATGGAGTGGATCCAGTCGTGCCCACCCTCAAATAAGGGTGACGTGTAGCTCTTCTCTTCGACTGGAGCTCCGGTTGTGCCCTTTTCAAGCATTTGAGCCAGCATTCGGATGGTCTGACCGCCCATACTGTGGCCGATAAGGTGGATCTTGTTGATCGACCCGTCCGAGTTGGTCTCGCCCCACTCTGGGTACAGACCTGTGTAGTTCTTGCCATAGCGTAAATGGTCATAATTTGCAGAGTGAGCGGCACCGTAGTCGGTCACGCCGCCTTTGATCTGTGCGTACAGCTCACAAGCACGATCCCAGTTGCTGGAGAACGGACCGATTGACGCTGTGTAGACTGTGTAGCCCTGTGCTTCGAGCTCCTCTTGAATGTCGCCTTGGATGCCGCCCCAGTACTTGAATCCGAGCAGTTCGTCACGACCCCAACCACCAAACCCGTGCACCAGTACAACCGGGTACGAGTTGGTGGCCTGGGTGATCGCGAAGTTGAGCAGCAACAGAGCAACGCTGAAGAACGCCTGCATCGTCCTGGAAAGGCAATGGAACTTGTCGACTACTGAGCAAGTTTGAGAATGGACGATCGATGAAATCCCGCTGCTGAAGGCATCATTTGCGTGGCTTTTTCCGCGTTACAGGGAAAGGTTGGGAAGACATGCAAGCACATCGAGCGACTCAATAGTGAAAGCTCACTGCGGTGATTGAGCAAATCGAGGCATCTGTTCCTACTGATAGCAGACGCAGTGTGTCAAAAACTGCCCACCTCAGGCACGAATCGCAGCCACGGTGTTGGCCCACTTGCATTCGACGTCTCTCAGACCATGAACGACGCTACTTCTGTTAAAACTAATTGACAATATCCATGGCTATAATACGCAGAGTACGCGACTTGTTGCCACAGCAACTTGTCCTGAGCAAGACGATTGCTGAGCCTTCCCGCGGGCAAGGTTGCTGACTGAATGCCGGACCGTGGCTGATCACCATCCACTTCAAATTGCGAGCTAATACATACTTGCATTTAGCCTTTTGACAAAACTTCACCTAGAAGCAAAAACAAACATGAACTCGTCCTTCTTGGTTAGCTTTGCTCACATCGCAAACAGCGCTAACCTCACTGCATGTACTGACTCCTTTTTCAAGCTACATGTAGCTCTGAATACTGGTCTGACTCCTCCTCCTGCTTCAACTTATATGTTCCAGACTCTGGACCAGAGATCCAAACCATTATTTTGTGGCATCCGTGGCATCTTCAACATGATCATGATCCAAGTCAATACCACGTTTGTTCAATTTGTTTGTTTCATGCACACTACAATGCAAAATTTGCAGTACTCCAGCGCCGTGACACTGCCTCCTATCCTCGTAGACGACGCGTGGGTGCGGCCTCGAGCATTTTAGTGCAGTAGCTCTGTGCGTACGAGTTCTTAGGACTTTGGCACAGCGCCTCCAGATCACTCTTGGTCTCTACACTCGTCGTAGCTGCTGTCAACTCCACAATAGCGGTATCTAGTTTCGCTACTGCAACAGGAGAGTCTGCCAGTCGACGAGAGCTCGAACTAGCAGGTAGAGCATACAGAAGAGCCGCATGACCCTCGTATAAATCCAGCACCTGCGTGTGCAGCGTAATACCCACAACAGCGAGATGATCCAGTCGATTCAACTGCGGCATCTTGTTCCATTTACCGAGCTGAGACGCTCCTGCGAACGTCACGGCGGCCCCCACTCCGTCGGATCCCATAGAGAACGTAGGGACAACGCCGTCGTTAGGCTGCCAGTCGGTGGAGAGCTTGAGTTTATCAGGTGCATACCGTCCTCCAATGAAGACAGCGAGTGGGTCCAACGGAAGTAGCATAGTCAAGAGATTAGGCATCGAAATCTTGCGTAGCAGTAGGTCCCGCGTGTTGAACGTGTCGACTGTGGCGTAGCTATAGTAGTACACATCACTAAGTGTCTTCACCCACGTCGCCTCCTCCTTGGCACCACCAGTGGATAAACTCCATAGACAAACGTCTTTGAAACTCGGATCAAAGATCCTACTGGAGAATACGCGGTCAAGATACGTTTGAACCGACTCACCGGATTGTTTGGGTGTGATGCCCCACTGGTCCAGCTTAGCGTCATATACCATCTTGGTGCTGTCTCCGAGGATGCCCACGACACTTAATACACCAGCTAGTAGATCTTTGACAGAGTCTCCGATAGTAGAGAAGCCGTCGCCCAAGGTGGTGCCCTGGTTGGGTGTCGAAATGGTCGTGATGGAGTGTACCCAGTTCTTTCCTCCTTTAAACAGAGCATGAGACGACGGGTCTTCCTGGATTGGAGCGCCGGTCGTACCGTGCGCTAGCAATTGTGCAAGCATTCGGACAGTCTGGCCGCCCATACTGTGCCCTATGAGGTGGACCTTATTGATGGAGCCGTCCGAGTTGGTCGTACCCCATTGAGGATACAACCCCGTGTAGTTACGTCCGTAGCGGAGATGGTTATGCGTTGCCGAGTGTTTCAGGCCGTAGTCTACTTGCCCGCCTTTGATAATAGCGTAGAGCTCACAGGCACGATCCCAGTTGCTGGCGAACGGGCCAACCGCAGCAGTGTAGACCGTGTACCCTTGAGCCGTGAGTTCATTCTGGAAGTCACCCTGGATTCCTCCCCAGTACCGGAAGCCCAATAGCTCGTCACGACCCCAACCCGAGAACCCGTTGACCAGGATGATTGGGTATTTATTGGTAGCTTGTGTCAGCGAGGGCGACAACGCCACCGTGAGTAGCAGCAGTGCGAAACGGAGCAGTGCCGACATCCTTGGACTTGGTTGAGCTGTGCAGGACGAGGCGAATTGAGAAGTGAATGAGGCTCGGACAGCAAGACGCCACCAAGATGTGGTGATGAGGATTCAAGCTTCGGGTTGCACTTCGGCAGCGGAGAAACGTCATGGAGCACGACGGACATTGCTATGCCCTAGGATATCACTGCTCTGACCCAGTGCCACCCCGGTCACAGCTGCCAGCAGCTTGCCGCCGCAGTGTGCAGCTCCACTTCAAGGTGCAGCCATCTGATGCTAATCATCTAGGAGAAACAGACTGGGACGCAATACCACTGTAATCTGCGGAGTGGCATCAACTTGATGCCTGGTTTGACTGAATCACGTCCGAAGTTCCGACTACGAACGGATGCGCTCGGCACTATCGTTTCTCACAATGGATACTTGAAGTTAACTCTTTTACTTTGCACGTTACGTGAAGTGCTGCGGTTGGTGCCAACGTGAAGCTCAGAAACTAGAGTTGCTTCGCGGTTCGCGGCACCCATAGGTTCATTACGAACGTAGAGAAAACCAATTGTGTTCGTACAACGAACTAAATGGCTGTGTTTGCTTCCCAATGAAGGTAAAGATTGCACCCGTGGGGTCTTATTATTTATTTTGCCGTTAAAAGATCACAGTTTGAGAGTTTAGTACCATCGTGGGCAAGTCGCAGCAAGCTTTCTACGGCGCGATAAAAGAGTTTTCATGAAACAATTTGATTTGACCGACACCCAAATGCCTTTCTATTGTTAATTTTGTTGATTCTGATGATTCAACTGTACTCCAAGTTGAAATTACCGGCAGCGACATGGACGAAGTAGTTATCTTCGCGGCTACAGAATCTTTATTCATGGAATGTAACCAGCACACTTAGTCATAATCAAACATGGTGTTGCGGATATGTTAGCATCTCGAAGGTGACGATCTCGCATCACATGTGCTGTTCCTGTTTTCTCGGCGATTCCGTACTAGACACCTCCCAAAGAATAATCTTGTGCCATACAGTACATGTGTACGACTCTCTAAATCCGGAAGTTCCCAACAAAGTGGTGATCCTCTTACTTGTATCAACAGTTTTCTAGCACATTCAACTCTTCCAGAGCCTGTCGAAAAGCAAACAAAGTATTGCCGTGTCCACTTCAAAGATCACAAATTCCAACGTGGTTTCACAAAGCTCATGCACTGGCGCTACTATCCGATATGATGTCGACGAGTTACGTGTACATGTAAATCGGAAATCATACTTTCTTGATAACTTCAAACATTTGTCAAAACCGAGAATTCTAACACATAATGGGTTTGTGCTTTTGACGGCTAACTTTTTCGTCAGATGCTACCATCAATCTCCCTTAACTTAAGAATGATTCTAAAAGACAAATACGTCTTATTGCTCTCTCGTTTCCGTGAGAACTCGGGTTGACTCGAATCGCTGGGTTATACAGATAGTTTTCTTAATCACTTAACTGTTTAACGGTACTGACAGCTCACATTAAGTCGTCAAGGTAAATTGGTGTTCCGATTCGTGGCTGATGATTGTGTAGTTCTCGGGTTGCTTCATTAACTGTCGGAAGGCACGACATCAAAGGTTCCAGCACTGCAATTGCCGCGACCACCGTTGGTTTTGAAATCCAGAGAAAAGTCCACATCAATTACCTCGGGGAATAGTAATGGATCGTTGAGCTCTTGAAAATATCTGAAGGCAGCGTCTATATCTTCCATACAAACCCGATCGAACCAGTCATTCTGTTGCGGCTCCGCGGCCACAGTTGAGTGCCTATCGACGGCGGTTGGAGAAGTGCCCGTAGTTTCTGGTGATCTAGGCTCATGCGCTTCAGGGGTAGTGATGACTGCGAGATCACGATAGTTTTCTGAGTGTGGAATACTCTTGGTTCTCGGTGACAACAACCCACGGCGACGACGTTTAATCTTTTCTCGGTACTTTTGAGCGTGCGTCATGACCTGACGAGTGGTGCGCGTACCGACAAAAGATGCCACATCTTTCCACGGCCCCGATGGAAAAATCTCCAGAGCTCGAAGAAATAATTCGTGCTCTTCGGTCGTCCATGGCTGGCCGTGGCGTGGTGGTTTTTTTAGGCCGTGATCTCCTTTTGGCGTGGCTTCGTTCGTGATTGCTGAGGGCTCCTGATGGATCCTCTTCTTCATGGAGACAGTACCAAACGGACGAGTCTGGGGTATCTTGATGGGTATTAGGCTAGCGTAACTAGCGTCCAATCCCACGGAGAATAGTTCGTTGCGGACACGTGTGGAGAGCGTCATGGATTGAAGGAATGATGTCTGCAGGCAGCAAATCTGGGAATGATTTAGCGCGCTGGGTGGTGGTGCTTCACGCGCTGACAACTATTCGAGTGTCGTGTACCATTTCGCTGGTTCGCTACTGGACCTCAACGGCTATCGCTGAGTCAGCGTATATCGCAGTCATGAGGACACATGGATAGTCGGACTGTATGCAGTGTCTGCCCTTGCGTTCAGATATTCACGTTACTCTCCACATGACTTATGACAATTGAAACATACTTTAGTACCGATCGCGAGTGTTCAGTAAGTTCGCATTGAAGAGGCCAGTTAATCAAACGTTCACTCATAAATCAAATTTACAAGCAGCCATCCGTCGCAAAGCAGCGCAAATATGCAGAATGATACACTCCGATCTCTGCTGGCGTCAGTGGCCACTGGCAAGCAAACAACTTGCAACCATTGAACGGTTACCCAGCGACAAGATATGGAAACTGCTACAGTAAGTATTGATTTTCAAACAAATGAATAAATGTATAACTGGATTGAAGATCCAATTTGCAATAAACTGACATTCATCACTAAACCGTAAGTTCGGTACAACGCTGCGAGCAGAACGAATACAAATAATAAAACCAGAGATCTTCACTTAAGATCATGTCAGCTTCTTTTTCTTCGCTGGATTCTGAATTGAGAAATGTTGCACATGTTAACTCCAATTTTGTCTTTTATGTTATTTAGATAAATTTTGAAAGTAATTCATAATATGCTCAATTTCTCATAATTCACGCCAATCACTCTCACCAACACGTTGCATTCTCCTAACATTCCGCCACGATCAATTATCGCTGGGCAAGACGATATTGTCATGCCTTGAAATTCTGTCATGGTCATCGGTCGCCTGAAACCCTTGAGTCCGACCATTGAACTACGGATCACATACACTTTATCATAAAGAATCTTGATTCAAAGATGTCGATATCTTTATTGACGTCCAAGGAAAGCGAGTGCAAAAGAAAACTCGTCAAGCTAAATGTTTGTACTCCTCAGTTCTCTCGGAGCTCTCATTTTTAATGTTGTTCTGCGAGCACCATATCGCAGATTATCTTGCGAAGCAGGTTGACGACTTTGCGATTACCTGCTGCAACATCGAGCGCTTCTGTCAGCACTTCCATAGGCTATCCATCCGTTTTACGTTCACACAAAAGCAGAACCACTGGCTTGAACCCGAGCCGAACCGCAAGTACAAAAGCTCTGTGTTTAAACACCAGTGGAACATGCTGCTCATCGAAGAGAAATGCCACAATTACTTTTGCCATTTCCAAGCGTCCATGGCGAGTAGCTTCTCTGAACGCTTTAAGCAAACTGCCATGAGAAACACGCTGGTAGTCGTACAAGAGTTTTACAAGTGCCGTATCGTCTCTGATCGCTGCAATCCCAAAAGCGCTACTCAAAGCTTGATCTGTGACGCGAGTATCATCGCGCAATATGTGGACGAGTTCCGTCTGTTGATTCCTCACAGCAGCCACGAACGCATTGCTAATCAGATCCGAGGAAATACACTTTTCCTTGAACAAGAACTTCAATATTTCGACGGTATGGACTCCGTTGCGACTCGTGCTTAGCTTGAAAGCGCGCAGGAGAGATCTTTCCGAGATCTTCTCGTTATCATACATCAGTCTCATAGCAGCAACGTTCTTCACCGTAGCAAACGCCCTGTTGATCCCTTGCTGGGACACTAGCTTCGTGTTGTACACTAACGTAACCACATCCATGTTTTCCTGTCGAGCAGCCCTTTGAAAGACTTTATCGATTGCGCTTTGAGTAACCCGACCAGTGTCCAGCAAAAACTTCAATATCTCAACTCCCGTCTTGCATCCACCTGCTCCCTTCAAGGCTTTTCCAACAGATTCCTCGTCGTCGTGTCCGTTATTATAAAGATACTTCACAGCTTCCAGATTCCCAGAGGCTGCCACGTAGGCGAACAAACTATTGTTGTGGAATTGCTGTGGGTAGATGTTGTAAATCCTCTCAGTCAGTTCTTTATCTCCTCTGTCCATGGCTGCTAGAAACGCCTTTCGCAGGTTCCATCGCAGTCCTCTGTACTTGAGCAGGAAGTCCACCACCTCCATTTGACCTCCCATTATTGCACGAGTCAGGGTATCGCCCTCAGGAAAGATACTATACTCATCCATGTATTGCCTGCTTACTGCGTGGTTGACCATGTACTTGACCACCTCTAGAGAACCGCTTGCTGCCGCGGTATCTAGAATATCTCGAGCAGCGGTAATCATTGGAGTAAACGCCCTGCGATAAATGTATATCTCTGAAAACAAGAGCTGCACGATCTGGAGTTGTCCGATCTCCGCAGCTGCTTTTGCTGCCCTTTGCATGGCCTGCTCTGTCTTCTGTATCGCTTGCTCGTTCATATAGCGGAGGAATTTGTCAAGTAGTATCTCTGTAATAACAGAATCCCCTCTGATTGCTGCTTGGTAGAAAGCCTCGGATGTATCGCACTCGAACCTCCGTAATATCTGTTGAGCCCATTCTGACTGTCCCGTCTTGGCTACTTCTGTGATGGCCTCATCTGGGGTCAGTAACATCGTCTCGATGAGTTTCAACACATGAGGCAGGGCCTGGATTTCAGATGGGAAGCATTGCTGCCCCTGGGACGTCACACTGTCGCTCCCCAACTGAGCACATTGTTTACGATCTACTTCGTCGTCTACGTCCAACCGGATACGCTTTACGGCGCTGAGGGTGGCGTCGGATTCGGAGATTGGGCGCTCTCGCTTAGATGGCGCAGGGTCCATGGTGTTCTTAAAAAAAATAGTCTGAAATAATAAGTTTAGAAGCAAAATTTGTGCATGAGGCTAATTATTTGGCCATTTTAGGAGCTATTTTATTTCCCAGAATCTATCTATTTTGAATAGACAACGTTCAAGGCCACGAAAATCGACAGGAACTCCATTTAAGAAGAAAGAATTGATGTCATCAAAAGGTAGGTCTGTAGCTGCAGAGGCTGATCTGCTGGTGGAATTTAATGATCTAGTTTGTTTAGTCTTTTCGATGTGGTAAATACAGTTCGCTAGCGATTTCGATGAGCACGTGCATCCACCCATTCACACTGCACGCACCCATACACCGGGTAATCCTGTCATCGCAAAATGACTTGCGAGTTCAATTATTCTATAATAACTGGTCTGACAGCTCAGCTACATTTACAACGTTCTCTTACCACTTGATCTTCTTCCCGCTATCCAATCGGCGGCGCAACTGCATCCTGCATGTCGTTTGCCCAGTGCTGCCGCTGCCATTGCACCTTGTCATCCCCCCCCAACAACACGCGCCTTGCCTTGTCATTCGCTGGGGCCTCGTGCACCAGGAGATCAGCATTAAGATTGGCCCCAGGATCGGTGCTGAGA